CAAATCCGATTCCCTCCCGACAACTTCTTCTTTTGTTATCGGTCGAGTTCTATAGCACCCTCCTCCCGTGTTCCATGGGCCATTCTCAAAATGAGAAGGTGAAAATGTCCTCAAAACGGTAAATAATGTTTTACAGTTCTTGCACTCGTTGATTTGCTTAAATACAACTTGGAAGGCTCTTCTAATGGCAAAACCTGGCCCAAGATCTGTCACGTTTGTTGCTTGACAATATACGCAGCCTATAAGATTGTCGCTCTCGTATAAATAGTTCTGCCTGAAGAACCAGTGGGCGTCCGAGAAAATTACGTAGTCCATGAGATGTAGTTTCTCGGACCAATTTTGATCAACCTTGTCGAGTTGCAAATCAAAGCCTCCAGTGGTTGAACCGTTTACTACTCTCTCAGTTGCAGTGACTAGGAACTGAGACCAGAGGGCCATCAGGGTGAAGTTATGCTTCGAAAATTCCCATGTCGTGAATTGATTTTCAGTATCCTTGTATACTTCTTTTGGAGTTTCTACCTGCAAAAGGTTTGAGGATTAATCGTTAAAAAATATGTCAAATTCATATGATTTGTTTCATCGATATTCCATTTATTTCAAAGAATCACAAACTTTTAGACTGGTTATGCACATTATTGTCATAGTTTGGTACGAGCACAAGCACTATGGACATAACTCGACTATAGAACTGATTTGTAAGGAAAATGTACCAACGTGCTTATAAAATAGATAATGCTACCAGCACCAGTTTAGGTGGCCACCCATGATATGTGCAATTAAATGGATATTTTGACTTTTATATTTAAATGAACCTATCATTTAATGATATATAATTGCCAACTAAACTAATACTAGGCATTAGTGGTGCTAAATAACATTATTTTTATAAAATAGGCTTTTCACGAGCAATGTAATATGATTTTTTATGGTTTTTTTTTTTTACACCGATTTTGGATGGCACTGTTTATTAGGCGTTGGGAAAATCGGTACTTGCCATTATTTTGAGAAGTTCTCTCAGCCCAACAAATTGGTAGGTTTTGATCGTTTGTCATATTCTCTTCTAATTTTACCATTTATAAAATAATTATTTACAATATTTTGTTTAAATCTAAATTGTAAATTAAAATATATCAACTAAAAAATTATTTTTCATTTAAAAAATACTTATAAGTAAAATATTACTTGTAAAATAAGAAAAAAAAAATATAAAATAAAAATCACTTTTTTGGTACTTGTAAGTAAAAAATCACTTTTCCGTAAAAAAAATTGTTATAAAATAAAAAATACTATTCATAAGACAAAATTCACTTAAAAATATAAGAAAAGTTACTTATAATTAAAAAAATTCACTTAAAGTTATTTAAAAGTATAAAATTTACTTATAAGTAAAAAATATTAACTTAAAATTATAACTAATTTTTTAAATTAAATATTAATTTATATGTAACAAAAATTCATATAAAAGAAGATTTTCTAAGGGATATATATATATATACATAATTTTATTCTTTTAAAAAA